ACTTGATATTGCTTTTAGAGAAAAGGAAGACAGGAACTCCTGCCTTGGCAAAGTGGACAACTATTCACTGGTGATATAACTTGTTTTAAACCAGGACGTAAGAATTCTGTCTTAAAGTTATTATTCCAGGTCCTATCTTGTTTTTTTTTTTTAAAAAAAAAAGGAATTTATGGAGAAAATTAACATTCAGTAATGAATAGATGGTGAAGATGGGTTCACATAAGTCATCTTCCCAAATCAAGTTTACTGAGAATGGAGCTGTAGCAGAATTATTGTCTATTCTAGACCAAAATCTTTATCAGCTTTGTCCGTTAGCAGATGTATAAAAGATTGCAAGTTAGAAGTTGGGACAGACATCTCAGGGCCCTATGTGTACCTGTGCTGAGCCTTGCTGAGTCTATCTTATCAGAGACCCAAATCCAGATTGAAAGAGTCATTTCTTATTAGGTGCAGGTAACTCAGAAATCACACCTCTGATTTTAAGCTGACGCCTGTGGAGCCAGTTGGTTATTGTCCCTATCAAGAGTATTCCTTGCTTAACAGACTGATTTCTTTTTAAGAGCTCCAACTGGCTGCACGGGATAATTGGTTTTCTCAAATCTAGGTCTCTCATAAATGAATAATGTCACAGTCCAAAAGAAAGGCTAACGGCTCCTATTTTTTGCATTTTCTTACCCATGGTGCCATAAGCCAGGAATGAATTTTTGGTTATTAGGCATTTTCAAGACCACCTGGAAGGAAATAAAATGGCAGAGAGGAAGATTGAAGTAGGGAGGTCAGTTACCTTTGTACTAACCCTGGTGAGGTGGCAGTGAACCAGAGAACGTGAAATGGCTGGGTGGGGGAATATACTGTGAAGGTGGTGCCAGCTGGATTTGCTGACAGTGGATATGGTGTGTGAGAGAACGGGAGGTGTCAAGGATGACACAAAGGTTTTGGCTTGAGCAGCTGCAAGAATGGTGTGGCCATCAACCAAGACTTGGGTTTTTATGTGCCAATTGCTTTTATTTTTAAATTTTTCTAATAATTTTCTTGAAATACTTGTACATCAAAGCAAATCACAAGGACAGCCCCTGAATCAATTAGGTTATCGCCTCTGCTGTCAAGTTTTAAGAGTCAGATCAGTAAACTAACTGAGACTTAATATGCCACAGATTTTTGAAAACATCAATATCAGCACAATTTTGAAGCAGTTTTTTGTTGAGAAAAGGCTATGTAAAAAGTAGAAATAGCGCTTCACCTTTAGCAGACTTGTTCTCCATTCTAGATGAAAATCTTTATCAGCTATGTGAGAGCTCACAGATGTATAAGAGATTGAAAGGAGCTTGGAGATGTCTCAGAGACCCATGTGTACCTTACCAGGAGGAGAATATGCTCAGCATGTTCCATGTATGATTGAGTACGCTTTTTGTTAAAGCCTTATACGTTTAAGAAAAGGAAACTAGATTATCTTCTCCTAAGCCAACTAGAGAGCTCATAAAACACTATTTCAGTCATTAAAGAAAAGGAAACCTCACATACTCATCAAATTGCTGGTTAGGAAAATAATTTATCATTAAGTTTGTAACTACAGGTGATGCCTAGCATTCAGAAATTCCCCATTTATTGTTGTGGCTGGTCACGGTTGACCCCTGCAGAGCTTATGTCCAGGAGGGAGTTCCATAGCTGCTCAGTGAGCATAACCAGCTGCCCAGGTCTCCGCAGCCAGCATGGCTGTAGCGTCTTCACCCATAAGGTGCAGCTCTTCACAAGTTAAAAATTTGGTTTATTTGTTAAAAATATATAGCCCTAAAAGAAAGTCAACAGCTGATGCTTAACTTAAAGAAGTGGCCTTTCAGTTACTTTTTACTGCATTTCATGGGAGAAAGTATCTGAGATAATGGTATTTGGAGACTCTTGAAGGTCTGAAGATTTGTAAATGTCAGCAGTCTTTTGATACATGAAATGCTTTGGGGCACGTATGCCACTTTGGTGTATGCACGTTTTGCCTGTGACCAGCAACAGCATCAGGGCACGCAGTTTGAGTGGTTTCAGCTTATCTCTCCGAACTGCCTGACCTGAACCCTCCCCCCAACACAAAAACAGTCACAATTGACTGATTACAGGGGTCGTGTGTCACTCTGGAGCTGAGCCTGGGATGTGATCACATGAATTCACTAACATGAGCCAGAGGCAAGTCCAGATTATTCCTGGGCAAAATCTAGACATGCCAGTGGCCTTAGCTCTACAGGCTGGTGTTAACAGCAAACTCACAGTGGGTTCCTGTTCTTCCTTCTTGTCATCGGTTCCAAAAGCTCTTGAGCAGACTTCAGGATTCAGGTTTGAATGTGGTCTTGACTCATCTGGCCAGCTATACAGTAGCACTGAGCCACAGAGCTAGGCTGGATAGAAAGGTCCTCCTCTGCTGTGTGGTCTTACAGGAAACAGCAAATAAAAAAGTAAAGGGTTAAATGCTAGCAGCCTTCACTGATGCTGTGCTTCCAAAATATATTTGCAGAAGGGTTAAGCTGTATTTGTCTATTCTGCAGTTTAGCATATTATAAAAAGTAGTAGATATACTACTACTGTTTATTTGACTGTATGGTGGTGTGTTGTGATTGGATCAGAGTAAGTTATCTGTACTTGAGTTTTGCAAATTTATTAAAGGACTAAGAGATTGTATTATAAAGCAGCATAGCTGTACTCTTATGGCTTCATTAATTATGACACCTAGACATAATTAGGCCCTGGCTAAGAATAGCAGACAAAATGGAAAATCATTTGGGGGAAAAAAAAGTTTAGATTCTGAGAAACTGAAAGAACATTAGTAGAGGGCATCCGTTGATTCTCAGGCACAACACACAAAACTAAGGCATTACCCATCATAGATTGGCAATGGCACCCATGCGGGGTTATCCCGACAGCTGGCTGTTTAAGAATATGTCCCTCCCCTCTTGATATTATTTCCATTTCATATTTCCTGATACCCTGTACACAAATAATCTAAAGCATCCTCCATGGTTTAGAAATAGCAGTTTTGATGATTCATTTTTAATTAATAGACTTTATTTTTTTAGAGCAGTTTTAAGTTATCAGAAAAATTGAACAGGAACTACAAAGTTCCCATATACCTCCTCTCCTCATGCATACACACAGTGTCCCCTATTATTAACGTCTTGCATTTTGAGGTGCATATGGTCTAATTGATGAACCGGTATTAATACATTAGTATTAAAGTCTATAGTTTACATCAGGCTTCATTCCTTTCTGTGTTGTACAGTCTATAGATTTTGACAAATAGGTAATGTCCCCCACTACAGTATCATGCAGAATAATTAAACTCCCCCAGATATGCCCTCTGTTCTACCAATTCATTCTTCCCTACTACACCCCGAACTCTTAGCAACTCCGGATCTTTTTACGGTCTCTATGGTTTTGTCCTTCCATTCCGTTTTAAGAACTACCCAGCTTTTCCTAAGGAAGCATCATTTATTCCTTTATTCATAAAGTGGTCCGTCAATAAATAGGGTGTGCCACGTCGTGTTCTGCACTTCGGGATTATGACAGCGGACCAAAAATTAAAAACGTGAAGACAAAGCTTACATTCGAATACATCAAGCCTCCGTGCTTGCTTAGAGCCTAAATAGAAGTGAAAGGGGCCCCATGAGAGCACAGGACGAGAGGAGGTTATTGAAGAGAGTAATGTGAAAAGGGAGCCTCCTACCAGTTGGCCCCCTTGTCTCAGGCCAGGCCCGGTTCCCCCCATGTTTTCCCCTGCAGTCTGGTCCCAGGAGTTGCGCCTGCCAGCCTCCTCCAGCTGCTGCCTGTGTGTTCTCCCTGAAGAGCATCCAAAGTCCATGCCTTTTCCCAACTCCTCCTCTCTCCTGCTGTCTCCAGCATAAGTGTAAGCACCTTTCTCAGACTTCCATTAAGTTTTCACTGCTAGTTATCTATAGTCCTACCTAGTGCTAATAAAATATCATAGAAAGTTTACAAAGTCATAAGAAAGAGGTACCCATAAACATCTGAAGACTTAACGGGACAAGGCCTTCCCCTCTGCAGAGCAGATAAACCAGAGTTTTCTGTTGTTGTTGTTGTTGTTGTTGTTGTTGTTGTTTTCTTCCCTCCAACCCTCTCTGGGACCAGTAGACATCATTCCCTGGTCCAGCCATAAGAAACCCTGTTCTTTTTCCTGCCACCTTCCCCATAACCCTAGTCATCCAGAAAGATGAGAGGTTTTCATGAGTGAGGACAGGCCAGGGAGGTGACGGAAGACTGAAAGATCCATTTCATCCCTGCCAGTTCTGCCTCGCTGTCACCTTTTTGGTTCATACTAGAAACATGCCTAAAAGTCAGCTAAATGGACTCCTCAGGAACCCTTCTGAGCATGTTCTTAGAGCGGGCCCTGTGGTTTGCTCCGGCTGGCAAGCGCCAGTAGTGCACATCTCCCCACTACACATCCAGCGGCATCATGCTGGTAGCCTGAAATTGGCCACGGTGAGAGCATTTACACATGGATATGAGTAAACGCTACCAATCCCCATTTCGCTAATTTTTTTCTTCAAAGAGCTACTTCACCAACATGCCAGTGGGCAGACCTTTCTTAGTCAAATTCTTACACTGATTGTACCATAGAAATTAATTCGATAAACACTGTATTAATTTATATGTTCTAATTCTACTTTCCATAATTTTAGGGGTGGGGAGAAATGCCAACCAAAGTCAACAGGAGATTTGATCCAGTAAGTTTTGAAAACCACACTTAGCATCAAGCTACACAGACCTTGTGCTTGCTTTTCATTTCCCTTGAGAGAAGGGCTGAGGCAATTCATAGGAAGTTTAGTTTCATCTATGGCATCTTCATTGAAATTTTACGGCAATAGAACTCTAAAATTTTTGCTGTTGTGGGTGTCGGGCCATAATCATAATTAACATTTCTTTTCCCAGATTACGATTTGCTTATCCCTGTGTAAGTAACAAGGGGCCACCTATGCTGACTCGTCCTTTTGTACCCCATGTAGGACTGCACACGCCAGGGCGAAGGCCGATGCTGCCGACCAGGCCGCGCTGGCCGCTCGCCAGGAGTGCGACATCGCGAGAGCTGTGGCCAGGGAGCTGTCACCTGATTTCTACCAACCAGGTAAAACAGTGCTTTGATGAGCGAGGCAGGAGCACTGGCTTTGGTTTGCTTTTATTTCCTTTTCGTTTCAACCTAAAGGTCTGTGCTTCCTGAATCCCAGCAATACCGTTTTACAAAATAAGCAGGGGCGCATGTGGATCCTTCATCTGAAATGCTTGGGACCAGAAGTGTTTCAGATTTCAGATTTCTTGATATTTTTCTATATTTGCATATACATAATGAGATCTCTTGAGCTGGGGACCCAAGTTGAAACACGAAATTCATTTATGTTTCATAGATACCTTATACACATTGCCTGGAGGTAATTGTATACAATATTTTTAATATTTTTGCACATGGAACAAAGTTTTAACTGCATTTTGACTGTGACCATCGATCATGTGGAATTTTCCACTTGTGGCATCATGTTGGTGCCCACAATGTTTTGGATTCTGGAGCATTTCAGATTTTTGGATTAGGAATGTTCAACTTGTAGTAATAAATATCACCTGAAGTCTGAGTGTTAACCCTGGAAATGGGTTATACCCCAGAGTCTCGCCCTTCCTCCCCTCTACATATGACCAACAAAGTTTGACCTGATAGCAGTAAACCAGACAAGAATCTAAAAGAAATATCTGATTCTAAGAAATTGTGTTAGTGACAGCCACAGATTTTATAACAAATACTCCCAAATTCAGAGGCACTTTTAGCATTAAGAGAAGAGCCAGTCGGTACTGTGACTATTTTTTCAACGTATCTGAACTAAAGTTCAAAGGAGTGTGGTTAGGAAATAAAGCAGCATACCACTTAAAGAGATTAATCTGCCCAGATTAAGAGGAAAATGCATGTCATGATGGAAGAAATAAAAGTGACAACCTCAAAAAAATCGATCTTGGTCATCTCCCCCCCCGCCCGCAGATGTTAGTAAATAGCAATCAACAAATATGTGCAATAGGTTTAAATACTTAATTCACTTTCTAGTAGTTTCCCAGTAGACTCTTTCCACCCCCTCTGTAATATACTAGTGTTTTTGTTTTGAATTTCAAAAAGGCAATATTCACCTTTTTATATATATTCCATTATTTTCTAAAGAACATCTGTCTAGTGATTGTTCGAGGCATCAACAGATTTCTAGGTGGAGAAACCAAAATAAATGTTCTCAATTTCTATTAAAAGTTACATTTCTTGGTAAAGAATTTTTCCACCCTGGTTTTTGTGAAATCAAGCTGTATAACTAGCATCCTGTGCCTAGCCCACCACCCTGCATGAGATAGGTGTTCAATACATGTTTGGTTCTGGTGAGGGGTATACACTGTTGGAACCCATAGGGTATTACTGAGTCCTAACGAACAACATAAGTCAAAGTGAACAAAATAGCAGGATTCGTAGAAAAGCTAGAAACTTGGCAATAATCAAGGATGGAGCAATGAGAAATGACCTGGAGAATGGGAGCATGAGGTTCCTGCAAAGGAAGAAGACAGTGAAAGGCCATGCAAAGAAGATTCGGTTTTTATAAGAGAAAGGCTGAGGAGGGACCCAGGGTGGTTATTGAATGATAGATACCATCATCACAGAGTGACTTGTCTAAGAGTTCAAGTCCAAGGCAACCACTGAGAACGGTGTTTTCTTTCATATGCACCTCTTTTAAACCTCTGGTTGAGATTTAAATCATTTTATATATATATGCATTTTTTTAAGGAAAAGGAACCTTTCCATTTTTTTGCAGCGACCTCTGATAGGAATAAACTCTCCTCTGGCATGAAATGAACTCATACTTCCCTGGTACCTAAGTATATTGGCAAATTAGCTGTTCCAGGGCATGAGAGCTGGGGAAAGACTTCAGCCACCCAGGAGAAATTGTTCTCTCCTCCCCAGCAGTTGTTGCCATTGGAAAGAACCTGACTGATCAGGAGACACTGGGCTTGAGCAGTTCTGAAAGCACACAAACTTACTGTTGTCTGCAGATGGTAATTTCTTGGTTCTGTTAATCTGTTGGGGAATGGGGTCCCTTTAGATTCCTATTAGGTGTTAACAAGAGGTAAATGATATGAAAGATCATCTCAGTTTCCCAGTCTGAGTGGTTTTAAAAGCCTTTTCTGGTGTAAAAGCATTTGAGGGGAAAAAAAATATTGTGGGAAAATGTAATTCCACCCTTTCTTAGCTAAAACAGCTTCATATAAGCAAGTTGTCCATCAGGAATGAATACATCACAGTAGCATGGATGACAGCGGGTCTATTTGAGACCAGAGCTTGTGGGGGAGGCTGCAGTCCCCTTTGACCCACAGCCAGCACTTCCTTCAGCAACTGTATAGAAAGCCTTTTCTGTCGCGGGTATTATTGATCTTCTCAAGGGAGCATAACTCATGCTCTCCACTTTGCATTTACAGGGTGAGCGAATCAGACATTTTTGAAAAGGGCTTTCAAGTACTTCTAAATTAGGTTGGCCATTTAATTTACATATCTCAGATATAAAAGTCTCCATTGTTTGGAATGCATGTGTTCGTGCATAGAAGTTGTTAACCCTGTAATAAAGGATGCCTGTCATAGCTTACATGTTGAACGCTTCCATGGCAAATTACCTATTTTCAGGAGCTGGCAGTATTTTCAGATATTTTCCATCTTAATTAAATCTTATGATCTTTAGTTTAAAACTGTATTATTCTACAATTCAGTTAGAAACTAAGGAAAAAACATAGCCTCTTGATTATAAAAGCGAGAAATGGAAAAAAAAAAAAAAGGTTGCTAGTAGATCATATGTAGATTAATCAAAAAAATTTTTAAATAAAATAATAACTTTTGTCATTAAAGAAAAAAACACAGCCATGTGGGACAGCTTTCTCCCCCAAAGGGTTAAGCTCTAATAAACAGAAAGCATACAAATGGATGTTTGTGAATGTATATATAGATAATTGTGTACATACACAGAAACCTAAATTGCCATTAGTGGGAGTGACACAGTGAGTCATCCCCCAAGAACTTAGAAGATTGCCCTCTGAGAGTTCAACTTGAAAATGAGTCCCTGAAACTACACAAAGGTAGATCAGGTGATCGTAAGTAATAGGGTGGCTTTAAGAACCACAGGATTTCCTTGTAACCTGATTGGGCTATAAAAACATCGAAAGAAAAATTGGTCACCCAAGGAAGTATAGAAAAAAGAGAGTCATGGAGGCAAAAATTGGCAGTGTTCATCCCAACACTATCCAGAGGAGGAGAAGCCTGACCTAGAACCTTGGAGGACTGCTGTCACGTTGGCAAGGACGTTTCTATTATGGGGAAGGATGCGGGGAACTGTGGCCCTGGTGTACAGCTTTACTGGCAAAATCACCCCTGACTCAGGAAATGGATGTATCAGGCTAGCCCAGCTTGATGCCATTACATATTTGATTCAGCTCATGCTTCTTGTACTGATTCCATGTTCACCAGTAACTTTCTAATTTTGGTTGAGCTTTCCATGGAGTTCTGCCAACAGGGAGAGCGTGTACTGGTAGTATCAACATGAGTCCCCTGACCTATGTGACATTTACATTGCTCATTGTAAACTAGTGAATTGGCCTTCTAGGATTGTACATCAGTCTGGTGAGCTTTGGTAATGTGAGTCTGCCCCAAGGGATGGCTCTGCTTCAAAGTGCTGGAAAATCAGGTTTCTATGCCAGCAAGGCTGACATAGGCTTTAGAGCAAGGGTGTCCAATGTTTTGGCTTCCCTGGGCCTCATTGGAAGAAGAAGAATTGTCTTGGGCCACACATAAAATGCACTAACACTAATGATAGCTGAGGAGCTAAAACAAAATCACAAAAAGATCTCATAATGTTTTAAGAAAAGTTTATGAATTTGTGTTGGGCCACAGGTTGCACAAACTTGCTTTAGAGGGTAACCACTAAGGAAGCAGGAGGGACTGGGGCAGCGACCCTTCCTGGGAAGGAAGATTGGGAGACTAGATTTGTGGCTCTTTCTCCCACTGTGTCAATTTCTTTTTAGGCCAGACACAGTGGCTCATGCCTGTAATCCTAGCAGTCTGGGAGGCCAAGGCGGACAGATCATGTGAGGCCAGGAGTTCACAACCAACCTGACCAACATGGCAAAACCCCATCTCCACTAAAAATACAAAAATTAGCCGGGGCTGGTAGTACATGCCTGTAATCCCAGCTACTTGGGAGGCTGAGGCATGAGAATCATTTGAACCCGGGAGGCGGAGGTTGCAGTGAGCCAGGATGGTGCCACTGTACTCCAGCCTGGGTGACAGAGCGAGACTCCGTCTCAAAAAAAAAAAAAAAAAAAATCCTTTTAGTCAAGATAATTCATTTTAATTTCAAGTGATATTAAGTAGCGTGTAAAATTTTTATGTTTATTGATGGGGCAGGGGCTGAGCATGAGTTAAATTAAAACACTGCCCTGGAATGTGGTAAGTGTAGTACTTGGAGCCCTCTTGGGAGAGAGCCAGCCTGCTTCCCTGGGTATCATCCCCAACAAGCTTTGTCTTCACATGTTTAAGCATAAATGTGCTCATACACACAGTGCATTGACTATTTAGAGTGAAGTCTTTAGCACAGATTTTTATGGACCAGTGTTAACTGAGCTTGCATTTCTGGTATGAATTAGAAGACTTCAGAAATCAAAGCATATCTCCATTACATAATTGTCTAGGCCTATCATTAATATGTCATGGATTTGATTAAGAAAAGGGAAGCATCCTGGAATAGATGACTTCTAAGCTCACCTTCCAAACCCAAAATTCTGAATAAATTTTTTCATTAAAAAGGGAAACTGAATAATCCACTAGATGACATGAAATTAATAATTCATGAGTTTGCTGGTTACTCATACCACATATTCATTCTGGTACATTCAGTTTCACAAATGGGTATTGAGTGTCAGCCAAGTGCAGGGTACTAGAAAGGATGTCCCACAGTTTGCAGACCAGAGCAGTACGACTGTGGTCACAGAAATTGCAGGATTGTTATAGACGGGACTGTGAAGTCCTATAGGAAAGGAGTGTTCTTTCTATGTCGAACACAAAAGTGATCCTGCTATCAGTTACACAATGTTTTTAGACTCTTTCAATCTGGTCCTCTTTTCACTGATTGTCGGTCTCCACAGAAAATGTCCAATTTGTACTTAATGGCTACTGCTGTTGCTACAAAACTTTTGATATTGGCACTGTCCTCATAGACATTTGTTTTGGGGAATCTTTATGGTGCTTCTGCCCATAGCCAGCCCACCAAGGCTCACCTCTGAAGAACTAGCTGGATACCCTGCTGCCACCATCTGCCATATCTGTTCAGAGCCTTCATGCCAACTAGAACGGGTAACCTTTGAGTGTTGGTGGATGGCATGCCGAATGTTGTTTGTTTTTTCACGTTGTATCGGAGCCGTGTCCGTGAGCGGGTGACCTGTATCTGACTTCTTCCCAATATGAGTCTCCAGGAGGAGAAAATCCTTTGGGATTCATAGATACTGTCTATATAAACAGATGAAAATGCTGACTGCAACGACTATCAACATTTGTCATAATTTCCCTCCCTGGCAATATTCTGACTAGTCTTTTTAATGAACTGCTGCATCTTATCAACTTTATGTTGCTGGCTCTGCAATACTGACACACACATTTACTACACAGAACAAGTAGCAGGCACAACATGTGCCTTCCAGGAGAAAATAGTCCAGGAAAAACTTCTGTCTTCTGCATTATATTAAACGTCTTGTTTTAAAAGCATTTAATCTTCCTCTGGAAAATCTAACCATATATCCTCATTTAGTTGGCTAGGCCTGGTATGACTGTGCCACATCGGAACCATTTCCAACGGGATGTAGTCATGTAAGGCTGGTTCTATGTCCACCTCTGCTCATATTGCTTGCATACTGTCAAATGCCTATAACCCAGAGTGTTAGAATCACTCGGATAGTTTGTTAAACATTAATATTTCTAGGCTTCAATTCATACTTATTAAAATCTCTGGACAAAGCACCTCAGATGCTCTGATAAGCAGCAAGCATAGGCGCCTCTGCTTGGGAGTGCATTTTTTTCTCTTACCCAGATATTTTTTGAATGCATAATAAAGCTAGGAATTTTTTAGATGGGAAAGTTGATGCTAAAATATACTTCCACCATTCTAGTAAATTCTTTGAGTTCAACAGATTTTGAGTATCGTCAGAAGCCCTGTAGATCAATTTGAGTAGGTATACCTAAACTCATCTTAGCAGAGTGGGCATGAGTAATCATGTAAGACATGCCTTTCTTACTACATTGAGGACCAGAAAACTGTCTAAAGAGGTGACACATCAGATTTCTAAAAGTTAAAGAAGTGATTAGACTAGTATTTGAGGGTTGATAAATATTATAATACTTTCAGTGGAATCCAAAATGTAGCTTCGTAAGTTCATTAATACAAATTCTTCCAATGGCCAAATCAGTCTCACCTTGGCCTCTCCACCTATACTGGTGGTACTGAAGGTCACTAGGATACATCCTAATGTTTTTAATGTATATATTGGTAAGTTATAGTTGTATATATTTTTGAAGTACAAAGTGATGTTACAATTTCTTAATACAATACAGAATGATTAAATCAAACTTATTAACCTATTTATCACCTCAAAAAAATGACATTTTTTTGTGTGATGAGGGCATCACAAAGATTTAAATCCTAAATTTGTAAGCTACGATCTCACGGTCTCACATCTTCTAAATGAAATGCATGGGCTTTGTGACAGCTGCATTTCTCAGGGTGCAGTGACTCTTTACCTTTTCCCTCCAACTTTGAGAATGTATAATGAATAATGTTTGCCAGAGTCTATTTTTTCACTCTTTTCTGTATATTTAAGTTAAACATTAGCTTTTAATGTGCCTTAATCTTAGTAGATATTGCCAGTTTTTCTTGGCAAAAATAACCTGCATTGATCTTTAGATCAAAGATGTTAAAAGTACTTTGTATTTTGTGTAATTGTTTCAGCATTAAGTGGCTGAAATTAAAAGTCCATTGGCTCCAAGGCCCTTGACTATTTTAATTATCTTTGCACAGTACATCCACTACCATACATAGATGGGTATTTTAGTAATGCTGTGAAGTCGAATATCAGTAAAGCACAAATAAAACCAACTGTAGTGAAATTTTGGGTAGAGAAGTGAGGGGAAACTATGTAAACATCACACTGCATCAAGATCTATTAGAGAATGTACTTTATCACAGAAGAAGAGGGGTTCTGTTAAAATATGCCTGCAGTTGAATCACGAGGGGCTTCTCCATGACAGACTAGTATCAGTGACCTGATGAGTTTTAAAGAGCAGAGGCAGTTCAGCTGATGGAAGACATAACTTTTTTGTGCTCATGCTGCCCTGTTTCCCCTTAATGCTATGTCCAGACACACAGCACCAAGAAAGAATTCAGAAACAGAAGGACATCACCTTTTGAATGCTTGCAATTGTCCCTTTTCGTCATTCAAAATACCTTTCGCTGGCCTAAGAATTCACACTGCCGTTTTTGATGGGGGAATTAAAAGAAAATTGTCAGTTATATAAAGGGGGAGCTTACCCAGTTTAGAAAGGAAGTCTCAATTGTCGATGTGCGGTCTTGACAGATTTGGGAAACTTGAATCCCCAGGAGTGGATGTATCTTCTAGAAGGTGGAAACTGTGATAATACTATTATGTTTTGTGCCCTGAGTATAACTTGCAATGCTGGGTGCTCAGGAATTCTTGTCTCTGGCTTTAAAATATTATGTGTTGCATTATGCTTTTTTCTTAAAAGATACATGGGAGCTATGTGATTTTTTATTTTTCAGCTGCTATAGCTGTTTCCATTTCAGTAAAATGGGGATAATAACACGTACTCCCTAAGATTTTGGTGAGGCTTTAAATTTTGGATAATTCCTTGTATAATTAAATAGCAGTCTCATTACAATAACTTATTACTCAGACCACCATGAGAAGAGCAATTAAAGTATAAGTATGCAGTATGTAGTCTCACAATTAGGGATAATTGCTGTTCAGCCCCTCTGTAAATCTTTTAGTGAGTTAGTGAGTTTGTCTGGGGTGAAGGGTTGCGGGGTGGAAGGCAGGAAGGAAAATGAACAGATGCAGTGCTGTGGAATTGACAAGAGCCTGTCAACTCTCTATAAGCATGTTGGTGGGGTCAGTGTCTTCCATGTATACTCCAGAGATATCAGCTTCTGCCCATTTGTGAGGAAGAGGGTCAACTGCACTGCATGTGACCTTGACCTCATGAGGCGAAAAGTGGCAGATGGGTGGAATGGTAGCCAAAGTATGCACATGACTTGCTGAGATCTGAAGGCCCTGGAAGTCTAAGGTCTCTGTGTCAGCCCAGAGATGCCCCTTTCCAGACCACAGCCTTCTCGAGTTCCCAGGGCCAGGACATCTTGTGGCACATACCCTGTTTCTTTACAGCTTACTCCCCATAAAATAACAACGCAGCAGGACCACTTTTTTTTTTTTCATTTTTTTCCTCCTCTGTCAGAGGAATAGCCACTTTTTTGATGAAAATTTGTTCCCATTTATAAAAAATAACAAGATTTTTATAAACAATCCGGAGGTATATAAAAAAGGAAAAAAAAAAAAATCTTGAAGCTACAGAACCAGAGACAACTGCCTTGTGTTGACTTTGATATCTGCAAAACACTGCTTGTGTAAATCCATGTTTTCCATAGCTGTGAATGGATTACATGGAAGTGACTTTGTGTCATGCAACCTAAGCCTCAGACTTAGGTTGTTTCAAACTAGGATGTTTTAATGCATGTTTGATGACAGATCATTAAAAATATAGTATCTACAGGTTCTCCTCTTGCAGTATACTTTATTAAATTTTCAGACACATACAGTAATCAGCTTCCTTCCTTCAACAAGTATATACTTTCTGCATCTTAGTTACACCACATAATTTGAATAAGCAGATTATGATATTGTGACCAATGTTCCATCAACATGAATTTTGCCTCTATATTCTGCAAGTAGGCAGAAAGAATGCAATTATCAGGAAAGTCAGAACTGTTTAGATTCTGTATTATCTTAAAACCTTTCCATAATAAATCAACTTTTCCCCTAGAAAATGAAATGTGTGCTTAGTCAAAACCTTATGAATATATTATTTTTAAAAGAGAAAAGATTAATCTGATTTAGCAAAAAATATATGTATATATGTATACATACATATATATACACATACATACATATACATACCTCCTTTTTATTTTTTTATTTTTTGGCCAGGCCCTGATTACGTCAAACAGAGATTTCAGGAAGGTGTAGATGCTAAAGAAAATCCAGAAGAAAAGGTACCAGAAAAGCCACCTACACCAAAGGAATCTCCTCATTTTTATCGCAAAGGCACGACACCCCCAAGATCTCCTGAGGCAAGTCCCAAACACAGCCACTCTCCTACTTCCTCCCCAAAGCCCCTGAAGAAGCAAAACCCCAGCTCAGGGGCGAGACTCAACCAAGACAAAAGGAGTGTGGCTGATGAGCAGGTGACAGCCATTGTCAATAAGCCCTTGATGTCAAAGGCTCCCGCGAAGGAGGCAGGAGCGGTTGTGCCCCAGTCCAAGTACTCTGGCCGCCACCACATCCCCAACCCCAGTAACGGGGAGCTGCATTCTCAGTATCACGGCTACTACGTGAAGCTGAACGCCCCCCAGCACCCTCCAGTAGACGTGGAGGACGGCGATGGATCCAGCCAGTCTTCCTCAGCACTGGTGCACAAGCCATCCGCTAACAAGTGGAGTCCCTCCAAATCTGTGACAAAACCAGTTGCCAAAGAAAGCAAAGCTGAGCCAAAAGCTAAGAAGTCTGAACTTGCTATACCAAAGAATCCAGCAAGCAACGATTCATGCCCTGCTTTGGAAAAAGAAGCCAATTCAGTAAGTACTGCAAGTAGCGTTTTCTCTTTCTTTTTTCCCTTTGGTTCTTTCAGTGAGCTGTGTGGTGTGACTATGCGTCTTGATCACAGCCAGGCTAACCAAAGTTCTAGAAGCACAGGGTTGCTTAAAGTAGCACATAACACATTTGTAGTTTAAGACAGCAAAGAGCTCTCCAGACAGAAATTCCCCCCACTACCCCTGTGTTCACCCGGCCCCACTTTAGATGTAATTCAGGTAGGTAAGATCTGACCAGCTTAGCACAGCATCTTAGCACATTTTAGCAAGGCTTTAACAGCATGTCTTGGTGAGCTTCCTGGTAGCTTGCTCTCTGATTGCTGGAAAGGAATCATGACCACTGCCAAGGGCCAGCCGCTCTCAGCTCTAGGAAAGGACACCACCAAGTTCTTAGCCCTCCTGTTTTCACCACCGCGGTCAGCATCTTTACACAAAAGAACCTCTCCTCTAGCCATTGTGAATTCTTCTCATACACACCTAGTTTGGATTTTAAATAGCCAGGCTTTGCAGCTAGAACATTTTTCTTCCCCAAAAAAGAACTGAAAATTTCCAGTAGTTCAAGAGAATTTCTTTAGTCTTCTGTGTTTTCAAAGTGTGAGAACTCTTAGAATTTCAGTTTTCTGGTAGATGCAGGTTATTAGTATCAATTAGTCTTAAGCATTTAAGATATTTATTATTCAGCCAGAAAAGCTCTGTATTATTGAAAAATCTTTATACCCTCTTTCAAAGGAAATTTTTTTAATAATGTATGGAATTAGTATTTTATCAAATGCTATAGAATTTGTAAAATCTGAAGCTAATTATTGATTAAAAAATGACCTCTTGACCTGGTCACATTCCTTTAGAACAGAGGTGTTGAATGTTACACACCTAGTATTCACTAGTGATTATAGAGACATATTTGCATAATGGTACGGATTAATATCTTGGCCAACAAGAATATAGTACAGCCATCAGTTTCTTATTTTTGTCTGTTTAATTTACTCACATGATTAAACAATTAAAATTCCTCTGTTAACTTATGCTGGAAATTTCTTAAGTGTGTTTATTTTGCTAGTATCTATAAAACACTGGTTGTCTTCTTTTTTCAAATTTTCAACTTTTTAATTAGCTGGACATAAATTATTCAGATTAACTGGACCAACTTCCTAAGAGTCAACCTGCATGGAGAAAAATTGTTTTCAAAACAGACTAACTTTAAGATTCTGACTCTTCAGTAGGCATTCATTTTAAAGATTTGAAACCTTAATATGTCAGTATCCTGACATTAGAACTGTAATAATCACTATTGATTTTGTTAAATGTAATAGTTTACTTCTCATTTGACTTTCAGCATTTTTATCCCCAAGTTAATAAGGCCTCGCATATATCAGTATTAGTTTGCCTGATTTACAAGGAGAAAAATTCAAACAATGCAAGGCCATATCTTTTATACTTTTGGGTACCCATTTGTGGGCTTTAGTTGACTTCTAGACCTCTACAAGGGGAAGCATATGCCCCAGTGTCCTGTACATTAGGCTGTGGTAGGGGGAAAAAAAGTTGAATTACCCAGCTCTTAGCTGAAAGAGTCTCTCTGTAAAACAGTAGTATACATATGTTTGGTAAATTCACAGCCTCCTCATTTAGAAAAATCATTTGTTTTATTTATTTGTGGAATTCTCAGATTCTTGGAGTTAGCCAAGCATCTTCCATCTCAGTAGTTGGTCCTTGTAGAGGACAGTAGTTGAACCCTGTAGAGGGTTCCCCTCTACACCCCAAAGGGGAAAGGAGGCCCCAGCAGCTTTGCAGCCACCCTGAGCTTTAGACTGCCTCTGCAAAATTCAAGATTGACTTGGCACCTTCATGCGAAGATTCTGAGAATTAACATTGTCTTCCTAATAGTAACAGAAAGCTGCCTTCCCCACTCCTGAGAGGATGTGACACAGTCACAGAGTCATCATAAATGTTGTCAGCGGATGACCTTTAAGACAATGGAGTACTACATAGTTTTGAGAGAAAGACGTGGTGTAAGTTAGACATTCATAAATAATTTTAAAATTCACAGAATTGAACTCTGTTGCCAAACCTCCTCGGTTCACATCCCAGCTCTGTTGCTAAAGCATCCCCATCAAATCGGGTTTCAACCTTACCCCAAAAAGAGGTAAATATATATAATTAAACTTTGCTATTAATACTTAATTAAACTTTGCTCTTCTCATGTGTTTCTAACTAGAGAAGCTTTAGATTGCACATAAACCACAATAACTCTTCTAGCAGAAAATTCCTTACAGTTTTAATATGAATGACAGTCTCTTAAAGGAAAAAAGAGATTAATTTTTTGAGTTAGGATTTCTTTCTGTATTTTGATTTACTGTTTTTTATTTTCTTACCGCCTGAAAATTTCTTCCAATCAAGACTTACCCTGTGCCCTGCTACAGCTTCTTGTATTACACCTGTCTCAGTCAGTCTTGAAAAGCAAGACAGATTTTTTTTCATTTTGCTATTTTAAGCTACAACTGGCCACCACAGTCATATTTATGGGACTTTACCTTAAAGCTTTTCACCCTGTATCCTGTGCCTAGGTATATAAAGAACACAGAGGCCAGGGCTTGGTATCTGCCACTGAACATAGCATCCTGGATTTTTTTTTTCCCCCGATTGTTGTTTGAACCTTTCATGTCTAGTTTTCCCTCATCTTCACTGAGTCACCTTTAAAAATAGCTTTCTAAGTGGAGCCACCCTGGTAGGATAAATATATATGTGTGTGTATATTAGAACATACACAGGAGAAATGTGTATGTGTGTGTGTGTGCAAAAGAAAAAAATATGTATGTATGTATTTTTCATTTTGGATAAAGCACTCATTCATTATTCATTAAATCTGAATTGCCAGTACAGTGATATGTGGGCTAAAAACTGGAGAAAAGATAGTAAACTAAATTCAAACCAAGAGGATATACAAATTCAAAATACTAATTCAAAGGGGTTAGATAAATTCACAGAATCTTATACGGATTTACGAAATGGGAGTCAAGGTTCAGGCACACCTTGGACTTTAGAAGTTGGCTTCATGGAAGGCATGTTCTCTGCAATTTCACTTTCCTGGGTCCGCTGTAAGACACCGAAGTCTACGTTGTATTGTTCTGACCAGGTGTATTTTTCCTCGTCTTTCGTATCACTAAATTACCTTTGAAAATTATGAAATAAACCCAGTAGCCCAGAATAGTTGAAATGATCCAAAATTCTTAGAACACTCATGAACAAAATCTAATCCAAGTGTACAGGTGGAACATCCAGAATGTTCCAGCATCTGGTCGTGATGTGAAGTGAAAGAAGCCAGGCACAGAAGGACAACCTTTGCATATTCTCACTTATTTGTGGGAGCTAAAAATTAAAGCGATCAAACTCATGGAGATGGAGAGTAAAAGGATGGTTACCAGAGGCTGGAAGAAAAGTGAAGACATAGGGGAGGGAGAAGTGGGGATGGTTAATGGATACAAGAAAAAAAAAATAGAACAAATAAGATTTAGTATTTGATAGCACAACAGGGTGACTATAGTTAATAATAATTTACTTGTACATTTTAAAATAAAGAGAACTGGGCACGGTGGCCCACACCTGTAATCCCAACACTTTGGGAGGCTGAAGCGGATGGATCACTTGAGGTCAGGAGTTCAGGACCAGCCTGACCAACATGGTGAAACCCCGTCTCTACTAAAAATACAAACATTAGCTGGGCATCGTAGTGAGCACCTGTAGTCCCAGCTTCTCGGGAGGCTGAGGCAGGAACATCACTTGAAGCCAGGAGGCAGAGGTTGCGGTGAGCCAAGATCGCGTCACTGCACTCCAGCCTGGGCGACAGAGCAAGACTCCACCTCAAAAAAATAAAATAAAAAAATAAGATAACTAAAAAAAGTATAATTGGATTGTTTGAACACAAAGAATAAATGCTTTAGGTGATGGATGCCTCATTACCCTGTTGTGATTATTACACATTATATGTTGGTATCAAAATATATATACACCCACTATGGACCCACAAAACTTTAAAATTTTTTAAATCTCCAAAATCTGAAACTTTTCGAGCACCAACATGATGCTCAAAGGAAATTCTCATTGCAGCATTTTAGAATTTTGTATTTGGGATGCTGAACCCATACATCTGAAAAAATCTGAAATCCCAAACACTTAGGGTCCCAAGCATTTCAGATAAGGGATGTTCAGCCTGTAATAGCATTTCCTTAATCTCTATGCTGTTGTGACATTGAAAGATCGTCTCCACTATTTTCTGAGTTATAAGAGTTTCCTGCATTATTTTTATGCTCTAAATTAACCATAATTGGGGAGTTGCACAGGTTAGGACTCTCCTATTAATTTAGAACATAACTATTCTAAAAGAGCAGTTGGTTGTTACTACAATTTGATATTTTTCTGATACTGTGGAAATTATAGGATATAGATAAAAATGTCATTTTAAATAACTAAATGGGAAACTGCCTTTAAACTAAGGCTTGTATCTTTAATAGACATATGGAGAAAAGAGCATGGAGCTCCGAAGTGACTAGACTAAAGCTTAATTCGAGTTCTGATTCTTAATTCGAGTTCTAATTTGTTCAAACTGGCTGAGGAAACTTGAGCAAGACACCTGTCCTCTTAAACACTGTCAAATGGAACTAATAATCGCTTGTGAAGAATAAACCAAAAAAAAAAAATCTACTCAGAGATGCTTAACCCACTGCCCAGCATTATAAAAACCTGCAATAAATGTTTATTTTCCTCCCATTTACTTAAGGTTTAGGAACTGATGCTTTTCTTCTTTTTTTTTTTTTTTTTTTTTTTTTTGAGACAGAGTCTTGCTCTGTTGCCCAGGCTGGAGTGCAGTGGCCGGATCTCAGCTCATTGCAAGCTCCGCCTCCCGGGTTCATGCCATTCTCCTGCCTCAGCTTCCTGAGTAGCTGGGACTACAGGCGCCTGCCACCTCGCCCGGCTAAGTTTTTGTATTTTTAGTAGAGACGGGGTTTCACTGTGTTAGCCAGGATGGTCTTGATCTCCTGACCTCGTGATCCGCCTGTCTCGGCCTCCCAAAGTGCTGGGATTACAGGCTTGAGCCACCGCGCCCGGCCTGCTTTTCTTCTTCTTAATAGTCCCCACTTAAAGGGGACTCATGTTTACTTCCTCTCCCTCCCCCAATTTACTCATCACCCTGTTTGTTCTTCATTTAATGCAAATGATAAATGATTAATGAAATTAAATCATTTCAGTGATTTAATGCGTTTTGTTTAACAACCCACATTTGGGTCAGGCACTGTGGTTCATGCCTGGAATCCCAGCACTTTGGGAGGCCAAGGTGGCAGGATCACTTGAGGCTGGGAAGTTGAGACCAGCCTGGTCAACATAGTGAAACCTCATCTCTACAAAAAATACAAAAATTAGCCAGGTTTGGTGGCACACACTGTTGGTCTCAGCTACTCAGGAAGCTGAGGTGGTAGGATAGCTTGAACCTGGGAGGTCAAGGCTGCGATGAGCGGAGATCACACCACTGCATTCCAATCTGGGCGACAGAGCAAGAGCCTGTCTCAACACAACCCACATCCACAGCACTTGGAAATGTGCTGGAAGATAGTGGGGTCTCATTAAATATTGGTTGCCTGAATGAACTGGGCAATGTCACGTGTCTGTGCACTGGGTACGTAGCAGTGAATAAGACAAGGCCTCTGCCACTGTGGAGCTCAGCGTCTTGTGGGGGAAAACAGCAGTTAAACAACAAAGGACAGTCAAGTGTGAAACTCACTGTGATAGAGAGAGCAGGGCACTCTGACCTCTACCACAGAAATGTGGGCTCAGTCAGGGCAAGAGACCTTCTTGAGTAAATGATGTGTGACCCAAACCCTAGACCCGAATTGATGAGTGCTTGACCAATGATAGCTCCAATCTCCCTTATTCACTTACCCCACACCCAAAACACATCAATACTTTTGAAGCCTCTGTAACATTGTTTCAGTGTAGTCTTACCCAATATCCAAATAGAATACCACTGTTTCCTCATCTGTAAAATAAGGACAATAAAACTACCTACCTCATAAAGCCAGTTTAGAACACTTTTAATGCTACATAAGAATTGGACACTATTTTCACAGTAAATACCACAATCATGGCTTTGTAAAAAAAGGTGGCTTCTTCATGGAGCAGATCTGAAAAGATGTAGGTTATATGAGGTTGGTTGGTTTAAACAAGTAAAATTTGGGGCCCTTGGACTATCTGGTATTTATTATAATGATATTTATCAAAATAGGATCCTGTAGTTTGTAAAATATAACTTGATTTCTGAAATGTTGTGATTGTGATTAGAGAAATTTAAAAAGCTAGGCCTGTAAGATAACTTCTGAAAGTATCCAACTTCTCACTTACAGCTTTTACTTAACGGAAAGGGTGGTGTCCAAACAGAGAACCAGGGAAAAAGCAGGAGGTGGAGAACCTCGTTTTGAGTTTTCCCTGAATTGTTCCTTGGAGGCGACTTTGTCCTACAGATTTGTCCTACAGATTCCTAACTGCCCTGAGGAGGAAGCAGCTCTTCCTCATCTGACCTGCATCCTAACAACAAATGCACCTCTAACTCCCAGCCCTTCGTAGGCCCTGTTATGGTGAGCTGTGTCTCTCAGCCTACGCTGTTGTCCATTGTTTTGAGGTGAATGAAGTAGATGAGTTGTTTAAAACGTTTTTAAACTAATTCAAGCCTGGATTCATTTTTAAGTGAAGGTTCTGAAATGTCTCCATCTAAACATAGCATTGCTGTTTTTAGTGTACACCTTTTGGAACTGCTGTCATCTTTTATGCCTTATTTACTGCAGTCGTGTTAACTTTCTTATTTTTTCAGTAATTGGCTTTGGTAATATCTTGATATTAACATGGAAAAGTTAGAATTATTTTGTTCTCTTTCATTTTCAGGGCCCTAATTCGATCATGATTGTCCTTGTCATGCTGTTGAATATCGGGTTGGCCATTCTTTTTGTTCACTTTCTAACTTGATTGGAATTAGGAAAGGTAAGAATCGCCTTAATTTCTATCTAAAATCATAGTAAATAACATTCTTTTCTCATATTCAAATTTGCTATTTTTTTAACAATGACATATTGTCCTTCACTTTAATTTTGGCTATGCCTGAATGTGATTCAACATAGTTACTTAATGCTATAACTGTTTTGACCCTTCAGTGAAGTCCTGACAACTAGTGGTGTGTTAGCCCACAGTTCTCTGCAGTGGTGCCGTCAGCCCTTTAAATGGCCCACCCCAGGCAGACTCAGACACAGGGAAGGAGGCTTGGAATTAGGATGGGATCGCAAGAGAGATGAAACTTGGAAAATTCAGCCAGAGGACCTGTTCGGTTCCCCTGGGAGTGCTTTGTGGCTTTGGGGTCCTCTGGGAGCTGAAGCGCACAGCCATGTTGGAGAGCAAAACTTAATAATAATTCTTTTTTAAAATCTGCTGAAGCAGCCCCATCCGGCGAAGTTCTTGGCATTGGCTACTCCATCTGTCCTAGCAGAGTGTGACTAAACTGGAAATGTATGGAGCTGCATTTTTTTTTTTTTTTTTTGATGGAAGTCAACAGCTGCCTTACTATTTTACCATCTGACGTTTTTAGTAGGGAGCTGGGGAAACGACTGCCCGAGGAATGCGGTCGGAGGATTGTGTTGCTGTGGACGTGGTTCCAACATTCACTCCTATCTCATTAGAAGAAATAGGTAGCAGCATCACTCACCAGTCTTATGCCATGACCTGCTGCTTTAACATCTCCTGGAATGTTCTGGGAGAGAATGTTTCGTTTGCTTGTGCACGACTCTGTTCATTTTTGCTGTTTATTTAAATATGATGTATAGTCATCTACCACCTGCGGTCCTGGCCGGACCGAAACACACGTGTTGCATCTCAAGGAAAAGAAACAACAAAATGCTAGTGAAAATGTGCTTATTTTGATAGCAATATACCATCTTTTATGTCATTTATTCTTCCTATACTTGTAAAAGATTATTTATCTTTAAATTTTAGCAATTTGAAGACACTATGCCTTCCTAAGAACTAATTTAATTTTAAATCTTTTTAACATTACTGAGGTGAATTATTTATGCACTTAGGAAGTGCTAAATTTTAAAAACCGAAACACAACAGAATTCTAAGAAGTATAGTCCAAACGTTGCATGGATTGCAGTAATCAGTGTTTAAAGGATTCAGTTTCTTTGCTGACGTACTTTACAACCAAATAAAATCTTGTCGGTGGCTGTGTTAATTCCCATGAAAGTTAAGCAAGATGCTATTAATAAACTGCTCTGCTCTTTCTTGTTTTCTTTTTCCAACTTAAATTTCTGTTGAATACATTCAGGTAGAACATAAAGCCTTGTTCAATCACTGCCTCTCAGTTTTCTGCCTTTCCTGTTTTTCAAAGTCCTTTTGTAATTTCATTTCCCATTTTAAAGGCTTAGACATTTTTATTTTAAATATGTGTCTTTTACAGTCTTTTGTCATTCTGACATTTCTGGGTTTTTGCTGTTTTATAATTTACCCTTTATTATTGAGAAGCATGCTTACTTAGAGAAATTAAATGGTCTTTATAGAAGTAATTAGTTAAAAAGAAATCAGGGGAGGAAAAGTATCTATCTAATCTATTAAATCTTTTTGAAACATTACATTGCAGAGGGGGAGCTACTCCTAAATATTTTCATGATTTGCATGGTTTAATCAGATTTTTTTTTTTTTTTTTTTTACCGTATTAGCTACCTTTTCAATGCAGAAGACAGTTCACACAATTCCCTGGTTAGCACAGATGTGGACTGAGTGCTTTGCCACCTGCAGGGTAGTAACCCAGTGATGTTTCTTACAGAAGCACAATATGTTGAAAATCCTGGGTGTGACCAATATGGAATAAAGAAGAAGGCAGAAAGAGAGCAAATGAAAAATTTCAACTTGTATATTCATTTTTTGCATTTTGCTTTGACTTTTAAATTTAGGAAGTCCGTTTATACCTGAGAACAAACATTTAAAGTTCCTGTGTCACTCTCAGTATTCTCACCGCCCCTCCCAAACCCTGTAGCTCCTTATGCTGGGAAAACTGGTTTTTTAAAAAAAATAATAATAAAATATTTAATCTTATTAAGTGTTTATTTAAAATGTGTAATGCTTTGGAAATCATGGGTAACAGATAGCGAGAGGATATGTTTATAAAGTGAGCATGTTGGTCCCATTTATAAATATATGTATGATTTATAAGCTTTTTTAAAACAAAGCTCAAATTGTTGGTATTTTTCTAAAATGTGCACAGCTGTATTTTACATGAAGGCTCTTTCTAATGGGTTGTTATACTGTACTCAACATTTTGGACAGCACATGAAGTCTGCCAATGTACTTAATAAAACATGACTTTGTTTATTTAAAGTTTCTTGCTGTGAAAAAGAACTCCCTACCTGTGAGTTCCTTTATTTATAATTCTCGAAACCAAAATGTATAATGTACAGTTTTCACAACTGTATCTGCTCTAATAAAAAAAAGTTGGTTATTAATAAAGTCGGAGGTGTGTTTTCTTTGTGAGTAAATTACTGTCTTGAGTTATGTGGAATGCTTCGGTGGTGGTGTTGAAAGAGATCTGCTGAAAAATTAACAGCAGAAATAGAAGGAAAAAATGTACAAAGAAGCTATGTGCCAGAAGGTAGTTATACTGCTCCACCAATTGGTTCTACGTTTCTTTCATCCTGGGCCTTTCAAATAATTTTGCAAAATAAGGTTCATTGCTCTGCTTAATGCCTTCATTAATTGGATTAGTGCCTTATCCAGAGTTTAAAGACTGCTCTTATTTTTAAAGAAAACTTGAAGTAAATCTCCCTCCTACATGGGCACTTTTCAATTAATTAGAATTTTTTTTTTACCATTGTGCCCCAAATAAATTAATATGTTGCTATGACCCCTGCTGCTTAGGTGCACTCCTGGAAGGTTAAGCACAACATGGGTTGAATAAACCTGTCGCCACCAGGACTTCCAGCCGCTGTGCTCCCTTTGAAGCCATCCAGGGTGCCGGCCTAAGCTGCTGGCTCAACACGTAGGCAAGTCACCTGTGCACTATGATAAAAGGACCATCTCCAAAACAGCTTTCCAGGGAGGTGCCATGGTGCTTTTAAATTCCCAAATTCATCACACCTGTTGAGGGCTAAGATCTTGGAGCCCCTCATATAAATAATGCACAGAGTTATTGCCTCTGGGGCTAAACAGATTACTCAACTTCAGTAATTAGCCTCCTAGCAAATCCTAGAGGAGAACACAGAACAGACTTTTGAAGCAGGGAAGGAAAGCACAAGGTGCTAGAGAGATTATTGATTCCAGATTCGTGTCCAAGCCACACATTGTGAGCGCTGATGCCAAAGCTAGGGTGAAGCTTGTGTGGTTGGGAAGTCTGGAAAATATTCTACATGCCCTTTTAATGCAAAAACTGTTTCTCAAGAGTTGTGGCTAGCAGGCTCCCCAGGCATACCCTCCCTGCCATTTGCAGCTCTCCTGCCATGCTTTGGAAAGTAACATAGCCTCATCTTCCCAACTTAATAGGTGGCTGTTGACGTGTCGTATTCTGCCAGTACAGTGTCACAGTTCATCAGACTGCGTTTGATTATTCCAGGTTTAAGAATTATCTGTTCTGACAATTCACTCTCACCCCAAAGATACTGAAATACAGTGGCCTCTATAATAGGGGTCTGGTTTATAGGAATAGGAGAAAATAGCAGAGATAGAGAAGACAGTGAATACTGATGAATATAGTCAATATAGATGAAATTCCGGCTTTGGTCATGATTGATTATGGATCCTTCTCTAATCCATGCCCCTGGTTTCCTTATCAGTAAAATGGGTGTAGTCATAGCACTATCTGGCCTCACAGGGTGATGGTGAGAATGAAATGACCTTATTTATGTTAAATGCTTACTATAGTGCCTGGCACATAGTAACTGCTTTGTATGTTTTTTACTGACTGAAAGAAACAGGGATAAAAAAATTCCTATTAGTGTCTCAGACACATTGAAAAATACAGTGAGATTCTATTCTAAGGGTCTTTTTGTAATGTTTAATTAGGTCGGGGTCATGGGATGTCCTTGCTGCAGTAATGACAAGTCAGTCTTTCTCACCGGGAAAATTAAAGGCCCCACCTACAGAGTTCCTTCTTTATGCTAACATGTGTTTTCCAGTATAGGAGAATATGAGACATTTGCTTTACAAAGAGCTTTCACATCAGTGTCTCACTGGATTCTTACAATCTCCCTGGAAAGTTTTCCTGCAGTTAAATGACTTGCACAAGATCACGTAGCCATAAAGTCATAAAAATCTGTAACAGAGTCCCAGATCTGACACTACATCTTGTGCTTTTTCATTTCACATATTGCCTAGCATTATTCCACATTGCCACTCATCAGCCATGAAGATGTGATGGCAAATACCATGAAATCCAAGGTAGTAGTGCGGGTTGAATGAGCCCATTTCTATCTGTCATAAGCTCCTTAATGAGCCACTGAGTTAATAATAACTACAGCAGAGTCTTTTAAAAGTTCTGAATAGCATGTATTTACAATCCTGTTTCATCACTTTTAGCACGATATTTATATAGTAATATATTTGAACCTTATACTAAATATTACTAAAATTTAACATATAAGTAATGGTGTTTTTGAAGAGGCATGTTGTACATGAACTTCGTATCTGTGTTTGAACTTAAGCTCAATAATTAACACAGAAGTTGCACATAGTACCTAGAAGACATAAAAAGGTTTGGCCAATGCTGTGGTATTCTTTTGATACCTTATGTCAGTATTCCATAAAACTTCCTTGGTATTCCCTTGAATCTGAAGTCTGATTTTAGGTAAGCCATAATGGAATTAACACGGAAGTGAGGCCCTGAAATTTGTTCAGCTGGTGGTTGATAAAGCTGTTTGCATACTGTGGTAAAGAGCATATCAATCCTTAAATGGAGGCAGAGATGAACAGAAGATTATAGCACTGATACACACATTCTTCCTTGTCCGCTGCCTCAACCCAAGCAACTCATTCATAAAATGTGAAGAATGATATTGAACATGTGCAGTGGAATTCATGATGATATTTGCTTATGAGAAAACAGTGGAGGTCTTCAGTTTCAGGAATGCATATGCCACATCCTCGCCACTTACAACATATATTTGGAAGAAAAGAGTCATAAATATCACGTCATCTGCACAATAAAAGCAGAAGCAAAGGTGAGGATAAGCCAAAGATTAATTATTCTCTGGACATGATTAATTATTTTCTGGACATATTTTAACAACTGTTTCTGACCAGTAGAGTGAGTACCTATCTAGAGGTCATATAGCTGCTTTGGAAGTTGATAAAGCCCAAGGAGGTGCTTAGACATAGGATTGCCGTAAAGCCAGCAGGTGGTGGAATCCATGACCTAAGAACTACAGATGCATCGTAAAAGCAGTTTTACATCAGATAATTGGGCCAAATAAAAAGTCAAGATTGAAAACATTCTAATTCATACATTATCCAAAAGGATAAATATTATGTAAGTGTGCTGTTACTCACTGAAACAAAGCAAGAGTTTACAAAATCTCACACAATAGAGCACCAAAGAATGAGATATTTATGTGCTCAAAATAAGACTTGATGTTATCTACATTCAACTTGTCATGATACAGCAAGTAATGTGAGGAATTCAGCATAATTTTCATGTCTCGGTGTCAGCTTCATTCCATTCAAATTTTTGTGTATAGAAATCGTTTTCCATTTTTACTAACAATCATGTTCATTTTTTTCTTCACAAAGTAGTATTACTAATCCAAAATGCCATGGCAGGCTATATTTGGGGGTTTTCATTGGTTCACTGAAACTATCAACAGTTCCCCTGGATTTGTTTTGACATTCTAAAGACTACCTGAGTAGGTTATAAAAGAAGCATTCCAAACCTTTCTGCTCTCCTGCTGCTAGCTTTCAGGAATGTTAACATTGCCTGTGTGTTCAGTACACTTTAGTCCCTTAGTCCCGTACAAAACCTGAGCTCTCCCTCTCCCCTGACCATAGCGCCTTGTCAGCATCACCACACCAGTAGCATGCTCAGCGTTCACCAGTGAAGTCTGACAAGCAGATCAGATTAGTTGCTGATGTTAATTCGAATAGAGAAGTATAAGAAGAACTGAATTTGGGCATCTGGTCTTCCTTTCTCAGATGCTATTTTTTGAAACCAAGCATACCCTTCCTTTTGAGTCTTCCCCATATTCATTGGGTATGCCAGCACCAAACACCACATGCTCAATTCTGGTAAACTCTAAGGATTGTTTTGGTGTCTATAAAATGGGAGCAATAATATCTGTCTCATAGTGTTTTTTATAAGAATCAAATTAGGTAACTTTAGTAAACTCCCCAACACATAGTAGACTCTCAACATAGAGTAGATACTATTACATTAATAGTCTCAGTTTTTTTTATTAGCAATTTTTTTTTTTTTTTTTTTTTTTTTGGAGACAGAGTTTTGCTTTTGTCACCCAGGCTGGAGTGCAGCGGCAGGATCTCGGCTCACTGCAACTTCTGCCTCCCAGGTTCAAGCGATTCTCCTGCCTCAGCCTCCCGTGTAGCTGGGATTACAGATGCCCATCACCACACCTGGCTAATTTTTTGTATTTTTAGTAGAGATGGGATTTCACCATGTTGGCCAGGCTGGTCAACTCCTGACCTCAGGTGATCCGCCCGCCTCGGCCTCCCAAAGTGCTGGGATTACAGGTGTGAGCCACCGCACCTTATTAGCGATTTTAATTGCCTTATTAGCAATTTTTACTTCATCAAACATTTATTACATGCTTAATTGATACTTCTTTAAATTCGTTGAAAAAAAAATTCTACCAGCCTTAGGTCATTCAGCATCAGGTCCTGCCCTAAGAAATGTACTCTTCATACAGAATCAATTGTAGTTTATACAATTAAATGGGTTTCTTCTCTAAACCAAAGGGCAGATAAAATCCAAAGCTTTTTAATAGTCATCAGACGGCACACTGGTGATTACTGATGCATCTCTCGTAAAAGGCTTAGGAATATTCAATAACACAGAGCACTCATTATATGCACTAGGTACAACTGCATTCATGTCTATTACAAAGACTGCATGATAAAAAGATACAATTAAGGTGTGTAAGAAATGATCCTGACAAAGACTTGCCACGATGATTATACTCTTGGTTGTAGGAATGAACTTCCTGGTGCGTGTAGAGCCTCAGGATTTTCACTGATATGCAGAAATGTGTTAATGGGCCTAGCTATTATGTTTAATCACTGTGGTTATGAACACGAGCAAATGGTTTTGGCTTTAAATAACATTAATATATTTAATCAGAAATAATAGCATGGCAAAGTATCATGTCAGATCTTCCATAGCTGAGTAGTCAGGATAGCAACCATTAGTTTATAAGTTCGGTGATTCATTGTATAAAGAACAGAAAAGATAAAAACATGTAACTGTTCCAGTTCAGTGCAGACATCCAGATAGCTTATCTCAAATCTGG